CGCGCCGTTTTCACTGCACTGCGGCGACTTTCACTTACCTACTCGATAATTTTGCAGCTCCGATCGCCCTAATTGATTCATAAAACACAGTTAATTTCATAGATTTAGCACGTTCGACTAAAAATCTTCGGTCTGGCGGATGAACTTCACTTGGCGAGAATGGAAAAAATGTATGTATTCAAAACATCGCGTTGCGAACGAGTGAACGAAGTGAACCAGCGCGAGAAGGCGCTAAAAAACGCCAACTGCGCAGTGTGACCGTGCCGCGCAGAAGCTAGTGCATTATCTGGCTATAAAGTAGCCAAAACTGTACAGCTCGAAAGATTTGTATGTTATTTAACTTACATTATTATAAGTTTACATAATTTGCCAAAATGTGTTACGAGCCATGTAATATGAGATGTATTAAATGTTGATCCCTATGACAACCAAAACGTATTTATTTTTCCTTTAGAGTTTCGTTGCACATATTTTTATTTTTCTAATATGTTGGTTTTGAGGGAGAAAGTAAATCCCATTGATAATAATAGTAGCACAAGTCGTACGTTTTACGTACAGTTAAGGGATAGCAAGCTACTAACTAAGAAACTACAATATTACCAACTGTTTAAGCATTCTAAGAAAATCGTACCTATGTGATATAACTTATTTGCCTTTTGCAATAATTCAAAAAAATTTTCTTTAGCTGCTCATCGCTTCGATACCACCCCTTCTTTTATAGTAATTCATAGTATTTTTTATAATAAACTAAATGGGTGATTGCTGGTATTTTGATAGTCTCGCCGACTGGCCACACTGACGTGTGTTGATTTTTTGGATGCGGATCGCATTTGATTCTCGGATTTTCCGGCAATCCCTGGCCAACCTACCGCTCGCCGAGATTAAAGCACACCCGCGCCGGCATCTCCAGCACGGACACCCCGCCGGCCAGGCCAAAAGAGCGGGACAACCGAGCAGACGAGCATTGCCGGGTGCAACAAGTTGAAACGAAACGACGACGACGAGAACAAGATGCCGGTGAAGATGTACGATGTGTCGCCGCGCGTTTTCTGCGCCATGCAGAATCTGGACATCACCCTGCTGGCCAGCTATCCGGAGGCAGAGATTCGGCCCGTTCTGCCCTCGCTGGTGCGGATGAGCCTGCTGTCGCCGCTGGACAACACCGAATCATCGATGGAGTCGCGCAAACAGATCCTCGCCGTGCTCATCGGCATCGAGGTGGTGAACAGCATCGTCTCCTACCTGCAGGTCAACTACCATGAGCTGGAGAACGAGCTGAAGAAGGAGTTGCAGGCCCGCCAGAAGTCGGCCTTCTTCGAGGGACAGCAACACGAGTACGGTCTCCAGTCGGGCATCGCACTGGGCTTCGAGCGGGCGGATGTGGCGCGCAAGGTCCGCGTGGTGCTCTCGGAGATCTTCAATCTGCAGCAGCAGGTCTCCGAACAGAAACCCGCCGCCAACTCGGAGATGCTGGACGATGGCATCTATCTGGAGGAGGTGGTCGACATTCTGTGCATTGCTCTCGCCGAGCTGCCCTCCTTGCTAAACATACTGGAGCTAACGGACGCCCTTGTCCATGTACCCAACGGGCATCGCATTATCTGCGCTCTGGTCGCCAACTTTCCGGATTGCTATCGCGACGTTGTGTCCCATGTGATCGCCAACTGCGACGAGGATGGCAGCGATGGCAAGCACCGTTTGATGCTGCTCATGGGGCTCAGCGAAATGAACCCCTCACAGGCGCTGGCCAACAGGTCCATGTGCGTGGACATGCTCAAGGTGCCGTCGTTCATGCTCAAGCTCACGCTCAAGCATCCCGAGGATCTGGTGAGTAGGGTAATATAAACCAGAAAGTCGGTGTAAGAAATTCTTTGCATTTCATAACCATTTCACTTTCAAATTTAACGTTAATAGGATTGTTATATGATCACACCTTTGTAATTGATTTGTACTGTTTGTATAAACATGCATTTATAGTTCAGCTTATCTTTTTAAAACATGTGTACATTTTGACTGAAATATGCATAAAGCAGAAAGGGGGAAATGCCGCTTAGCTGTCTCTCTCTAATTCGCAAAAGCCAACGAATCATATTTGGACCTATGACAATGTTTACAAATAATGAGATAACAATGCAAACTGCACCTCTCCCCACAGATCGCCTTCCTCACGGGCCTACTGCTGGGCAATGACCAGAATCTACGCTCCTGGTTCGCCGTTTATATACGCTCCAGTCAGAAGCGAAAGGGCGACGCACTGAATCTGGTGCGCGTGGAGCTGCTGCAGAAGGTGATTCAAACGACGACCAATGCGGCGGAGCTGCGCGACTTCAATCTACAGGGCGCGGTGCTGCTGCGACTGTACTGTGTCCTACGCGGGATTGGTGGTCTGAAGTTCAACGACGATGAGATCAATGCTCTGTCGCAGCTGGTCACGAGTTGTCCACAGGCGACGCCCTCGGGCGTGAGATTCGTAACGCTGGCGCTGTGCATGCTTATCGCCTGTCCCTCGCTGGTGTCCACCATTCCCCTGGAGAACAAGGCTGTGGAGTGGCTGCAATGGTTGATTCGGGAGGATGCCTTCTTCTGCAAGCGCTCCGGGACCAGCACCTCGCTGGGTGAGATGCTCCTGCTGCTGGCCATTCACTTTCACAGCAATCAGATCTCGGCCATCAGCGAAATGGTCTGCTCCACGCTGACCATGAAGATACCCATTCGACCCAACAGTACAAACAGAATCAAGCAGCTCTTCACGCAGGACCTGTTCACGGAGCAGGTGGTGGCATTGCATGCGGTTCGAGTACCCGTCACTCCGAATTTAAATGGCAACATACCGGGCTACTTGCCGGTGCACTGTATCCATCAACTGCTGAAATCGAGGACATTCCTCAAGCACAAAGTGCCCATTAAGTCGTGGATCTTCAAGCAAATATGCAGCTCGGTGAGGCCAGTGCATCCGGTGATGCCGTCCTTGGTGGAGGTCTTTGTCAACACGCTGATAATACCCAATCCCACCGGGAAGGTTAATATTGATCACATGCACCGGCCCTTCACTGAGGCCGAAATCCTGCACGTGTTCCGCACATCCAAGCTTACATTCTTCGCCGAGGAGCTGCCACCAATGGCGGAAAGTGACGAACTGAGCCAGATCGAGGTGACGTGTCCATTAACCGCCCAGCTGCTGATGATCTACTACCTCATGTTGTATGAGGATACGCGACTGATGAACCTCAGCGCTTTAGGTGGGCGCAAGCAGAAGGAGTACTCCAACAACTTCCTGGGCGGACTGCCACTGAAGTATCTGCTACAGAAGGCGCACAACTACCATCACGACTATCTCTCGCTGTTCCATCCGCTGCTGCGTTTGATTATCTCCAACTATCCGCATCTCAGCATGGTTGATGACTGGTTGGAGGAGCATAATTTGGCCCAGGGCAGCTCCACGGTGGTGGTAAGCAAGCGTGAGCTCAAACCGGAGCAACTAGATCGTGCACTGGCCGCCATCCAGACGAAACCGCATCTGGCCATCCGCGTGTTTAAGCAGCTGCTCCAGATGCCCCCAGAAACGCAGGCGCAATATGGTCAGCAGCTGGTGCAGCATTTGCCGATGGTGTTTGCCAAGTCGGTGCCGCGTTACATCAAGGATCTGTACAACGATATTTGGCTGCGCCTAAACGCCGTGCTGCCCACCACACTCTGGATCATGTCGCTGCGAGCGATTACCAACAGCTCGGATTCGATCAACCGACGGACCTTCGCCAACGAGAGCCTTCTGGAGCCCATGGAGGTGCTAAGGTGGGTTAGCTCGTGATTTCCGTGCGTTCTTTCATATAATTTTTTATTTTTATATCCACTTGTCCAACAGTTGCCCACGCTCCGTGTTCTGTTCGCCTTATCTGCTGATGATTCTGCTGCGCATCCTGAAGGGCAGCCTGGCCGCCTCGAAGACCTATCTAAACGTGCACATGCAGATGCAGCAGAAACAGGTGCTGGACAAGAACGGCATGGTGCAGACGGATGCGGTTTGGGAGGACCTAAGAACCACGCTGATTGCCTCGCAGGAGAGCGCCGCCGTGCACATTCTGCTGGAGGTGCTGGAGTACATGGCCAGCAAAGCATCCGACCGGGTGTCGCATCTGGAGCTGCGTGAGATCCAGGGCATCATTGGCACCTATGTGCATCAGGCATTCATCTCGGAGCCTTCGCTGGCGAAACTAGTGCACTTCCAAACGTATCCAAAGTCTGTTATTCCCATGATTGTGGCCAGTGTGCCATCGATGCACATATGCATTGATTTCGTTCACGAATTCCTCAACGTCCCCGAGATGGACAAGCAGATCTTCATCATCGAACTGACCTCCCACCTGGTGCTCAACTATTCGATACCCAAGAGTTTGGGCGTCTCGAAATTCTGCCTGAATGTGATCCAGACGACGTTGTCCCTGCTGACAGCATCGGCCAAGTGTAAATTCCTGCGCAATGTGCTGCCAGCGATGGTGCGGTTCGTGGAAACGTTTCCCATTCTGGCCGACGATTGCGTCAACATCCTGATGACCACCGGGCGCAGTTTGCATTCGCAGTCGTCGCTGGGCGTGACCACCATGCAGATGCCCCTCACCGAGAGCGCCAAGCTCTGCTCGTACCGGGATGCCCAGCTGCACATCATCATGATCGAGGACGCTTTTAAGGCGCTGGTCACGGCCGTTATGCAAAAATCGGAGCTGTATTAGTTGGATTCGATCCCGCCTTGTTCTTCGTAATCGTGAGCAACCCCTTCTCCCCTGTCACGCGGCTGATTATAATAGTGCTTGTAAAATTTATAACAACATTGACTAGAATAAACTTTTATTGCGAAAATTTGGCGCTTCACCTAATTATCGATAATAAGTCAGCATGTTATCGGATTCTGATTTCAATCGATAGACATTTTTGGTTAGCGAGTACACCTACCATATGTTTCTGTCGTGCCCGGCCTTGCCACCCTTTCGTGCATCGGGCTATCGATATTAGCTAACAATCATCGATATTAGTTCCAGCTCTAGTTTTTGTTGTTGTTAAATTAAAGCTCGGATGTGAGTTACAATAATTGTGAGTAGCGATCGTGCGTGCGTAATTTGCTAATTGGCTGGCATTCGGCATTGTGTTTTGTATCTTGTATCCTGAATGGAGTCAGGACGTTTTTGGACTCCTTTTCCAGTGTGCGTTTACGATGCTGATTCGTAATTGCCTTTTGTATACGTTGAGTACGCGCTACTCCTCTCTCCCCTCGCTCAACCTCTCTCCCTTATCTTGAGTGTGTGCGGCTCTGTGTGTGTGTGTGTGTGTGTGAGTGAGTGAGAGTTTCGTGGTGGGAAAATAATTATTAAAGCAAATACAACAAATACATTTGCTTAGTATTTTGTCAAGTGACTGGCTGGAAAAGCCAAGAAGCACGGGCTTCGAGAAAAAGTGTCGCCGAGGCGGATTAAACTTGAATTCTTTGTGCGCAGCTGCAGGTAATTGTTCACACACACAGAACACACAAACACACACCCACACGCAGCAGGCGAGCACGTAGAGAGCGAGATGCAGCGATGCTGGGAGTGTGTGCGCTAGAGCGGGATGGCTAGGCGGATGCGGCAACAGTGTTTTTCTTTTCTGCAACAAATCTGAAAATTCGTTTCCAAAAATTGTGTGGTGTTTTTTCTCTTGCCTTTGCGCTCTCCCGCTCCCGCCCCACCCGTTTCTGTTTGTAATTGTACCGTTGCACATGCACTTGCATTACTCTCTCTTCTTCCTCCTTGCTTCCTCCTTTCTTTTTGCCTTTGTCGTTGTTGTTATCACTGAATCGTTGCTCTCCGCTTCTTTAGCTGTGGCATTTGCTGTTGTTGTTATTACTTTTGTTGTGCAGCGCGGGGAATGTACAGGAAATCTGTTGCAGATCCAATTTCGCTTCTGCGCTGCACTTGCCCAGCATGTGTGTGTGTGCGGTGTTTGTACGCCGGAAAAACTCAATTAAAGGCCAGTGGGGAATTTATTATATCCACTCTCATTGAAACGCACAACCACACACACCCACGCACACAGTTGCACGCCCACTCGAGGATAACAGCAACAAATTGGAGTGCACTAGCAACAGCAATAGCAACAACAAACACATCCACATCCACCCACGCGCTCTCTCCGCTTTCCACTCTCAGTGACTCTCAGTGACTCTGATTCACTCTCTTTGGAGAGTTGCGCCGTGTCGTTTGCAGCAGCAAAAGCAGCGCTGCGACAGAACAGCAGCCGCAGTCAGGACGGAAAAAGGATTTGTTGCAGACTGACTTTCCCTACTTGCCGAAAATGTTGTATAAAAACTAGCCATATAAATAAATACGAAGATCAAACGAGAAACCGAAAAGAAAGCAGGTAAAACACAAACCCTGTGCATTTGTTGTGAAATCACTATTCGCGGAAGTTCGTTGGCCAAAAATCACATGGAATGAATTTTCGGGTAGCGCCGGCATAAAAAAATCGCTTTCGCGTTTTTCTTCTCCGTTTCTTTTTTTTTTTTTGTCACATCGCAGCAGCCAATCTCTCGCTCTTGCTCTCGCTCTCTTGTGATTTTGGACCCCCAATCCGTGGATGTATCCGTAACTGCGTAGTTGTAGCCGAAAGGAACCCATGACAAAGTCCTAGACTGGCGAAAAGTGTGCGAAAATGTGAAGGTCCTGCGGCCAATTGGAGCAGACGGCGCGGGGGACACGGGGCGATTCTCCAACTCGAAGGTTATCTTGGATAATAGTCATCGCCTGGCATCGCAAGCCAGCCATTTGCCGTGAAAAAGTGACCAGAAATCGACAATTTTCCGCGTGTGTCCGGTGAAACAAAGAGTTTATCTCTGGATAACCAAAGATACCCGTAAGCTGGCACTTCCACGTAAACACATTGGAATATAGTGGGCCGAGCCAAGGTCTATCCTACGCCTTGCCCTTTTCTATATCCCTTTAAAATGGGATATATCTTTATGTGAAATCCTGAAAAGGAGAGCTTTTATATTGTCCTTTCCACGTAATGTCATCCTCAATGGTCGCTAAAACCGAAAGTTATACGATAACAGGTTATCTATCCTAGGCCATTGATATTTTCAAATATTCACTTTTTAACTGATTGAGTGAATCAGTTTTCGATGGATACAAGGTTACAACATTATGTCATGTTAATAGGCATGGAAAAGCCTCAGTAGATAACACCTTATTGATATGATAAGGCGCAATCGTACCTTTGACAAAAAACACATTTCGTAACAATTTGATGTACTATCAGCATTCATCTATGCTGATAGAGTCTATGAACCAGTATCTAATTCCTCCTACCACTTTTGAATCCTTGCAGGAACGTCAAGATGCGTCAGTTTAACATCTCGGTCATTGGACTATCCGGGACCGAAAAGGACCGCGGCCAGGTGGGAGTGGGCAAGTCATGCCTGTGCAACAGATTCATGCGCCCAATGGCCGACGACTACTTCATCGATCACATATCAGTGCTTAGCCAGAGCGACTTCAGTGGCCGGATTGTGAACAACGACCACTTCCTCTACTGGGGCGATGTGCGCAAGACGACGGAGGAGGGCGTCGAGTACCAATTTAATATCATCGAGCAGACGGAGTTCATGGACGACTCCACGTTCCAGGCCTTTAAGGTGGGAAAGATGGATCCATACTCGAAGCGGTGCACGGCCACCAAGGTATTCTCCGCGGAGAAGCTTATGTACATATGCAAGAATCAGTTGGGCATCGAGAAGGAGTACGAACAGAAGGTCATGCCCGATGGCCGGCTCAGTATCGATGGCTTTGTGGTCGTCTTCGATGTGAGTCCAGTGCCCAATCGCAGTGTGGAGAAGCAGGTGGAGTTCGTGCAGAACGTCATCGCCACCATACTGAAGAACAAGAAGCCCCTGGTGCTGGTGACCACAAAGAACGACGACGCCTATGAGTTGTATGTTCGTGAGGCGGAGAAGATTAGCCAGCGAAAGGACTACAAGAGCACCGTGCAGCTAATTGAGACGTCGGCCCACGAGAGCATCAACATCGATTTGGCCTTCCTCCTGCTCGCCCAGATGATTGACAAGGTTAAGAACCGGGTCAAGATCATCTCGTACCAGGAGTCGGCCAAGTCGCGTAAGGAACTGCTGGACACACGATCCGAAGCGGTGACGCGACTAATTCGCAACCAGATCACCGACTATCATATCCTGTGGTCCCAGGGCTCCAAGATGCTGTCGCAGTACCGCGAGTGGAACGAGTTCCTCAACATATTCGGTCACGAGGCCGGGCAGAAACTATTCCGGCGGCACATGAAAAAGCTGCGCGACGATCATCTAAACAAGAAACTGCATCAGTACTTGGACAAGTTTGCCCTGGCCCTGGAGTACCTGCTGCCGGACATTGGGGCTTTAAATATCAGCGATGACGATGCTTGGGAGTGCGCCAGGAACTATCTGCAGAATCACATCGAGTTCGAGCAGTACTTCTTCGAGTGCCCGCAGGCCTCGTGGACGGAGCTGGTGGACATGGACGAGGCGGAGGATGAGGCCCGCATTCCCTTCGATGTGCTGGAGACTTCCGAGGCAGAGACCGTCTTCCGTAATTACTTGAACTCGGTGCAGCAGGACAAGAAAAAAATTGGGTGAGTTGAGACCAAATGTGTAATTTAATCAAGTTTATTTTACAATCGGAGGAGTTTTCAATTACATGCACAGTATATTACTGATTTCTTGTGCCTTTAGTTATATTTAGCACATATAAAACGTTGCTGTACCATTTTATCGCCCTTAGATGGAAACAGCAATTCAAAATGCTACTTGAGGAGTCGGGCTTTGTGACGCCCGGCAAGCAGCTTTCCGAGGTGCGCGTCCTGTTCATGGGACGCGAATGCTTTGAGGCGCTTTCGGAGCACGATTGCCAGCAGATCTACGACATCCACCAGGACGACATCATCGAGAAGAGCAAACAGAATTTTGTGGAGCTTCTGCTGGAGCACGCTCAATATTTTCTACAATTCAAGAACGTGGACAACATCACGCAGGAAGATGTGCGCCAGATCACCGATGTCATACAGGAGGATTCACGCTACAAGATGCTCGATCGCTTGGACCAGGAGCGGCGTTTGATGCTTGTCCAGCATCTACGCTTCATCCACTGCCCCATTCGCGATCACTGCCCCTTCTTCTACAACTGTGTGGATAGCCTGATTGAGGAGGTGTTATCCGACAAGTCGGCCAGCAACCACAAGACGCCCAGCGGCGGTGGCTGGAAGAGTTCTGGCAGCGGCAGTGACCGCACGCTCAATCTGCTGATCGTGGGCTCCGAGCACCTGGCCAGCGATCTACTCAACGACATCCGCATCTGCACCGGGAGCAAGGGCGAGTACATCTACGAGAATCAGACGTATTATCTCAATTACCGAATTGCCAACGGCGACATGGAGGCCTTCAAGGCCATTGATGTCTACTCGAGTGGTAGGTTTGGTGTTCCATAGAATCTCAAATAGGGGCTGGCACCTTATAATAAGTAAAAGCTCACTCAAGTAATTGCACTTAATTGCCCTGCGGCTCACCACGCTCCCAAGATATAGTAGTTAGCTAATTAACGGACTAACGAATTCCTATTGCTGGCATATGATATCATGTTGCTTACTCACAGCCTTTAGATTTTGAATTACTAATTGCTTATTGATGTTGGTTTTTGCTTATTGAAAAAAGATTGACATGCCGCCCTATAACATAAAGAAATGTTTTAAACGCTCCAAGTACTGCAACTAAGAAATTTCGATTCTTTGCAGGTCTCATATGCGTGTACTCCAACCAGCAATCTTTTGAGACGCTCAAGGACAACTTGGAGCGCACGCTGCTCTGCAACCTGGAGCTGGAGGACAAGTTCGAGAACCTGCCGATCGTGCTGGTCTACCAGCCACAGGACCTCAAGGAGAACGAGGTGGAATACTTGCGCAACGAGGGCATGCGCCTGTCGGAGATGCTGCACTGCGACTTCATCGATCATACGCAGAATCACCAGAAGTACGTCTATGACATACTCAACATAGTCATACTGTCGCTGAAGCTGACTGAGATGAAGAGCTACGAGCCGTATCCCTCCAATCACACCGACCTGCGCATCCTGTGCTGCATTTTTTGTGGCGATCAGTACGACATCGAGAACATTGTCCAGCCGCTGGTGGAGGAATCGACGCTGGTCAAAGCCAACGAACACTCCATCATTGTCGACGTCTTTATTGGCGATGCCAAGCGGCGGGTCGAGTTCATTCTCTCCTCATATCATGGCACCAGCCAGTATCGCGATGAACTAATCCATGGCTATATTTACTTTTACTCGGCCAAGCGTCGATCTTCGTTGGCAAATTTAAGGTGAGTGAACTTATCTTCTACGATTCAAGGCGTTTCGAAGCATAAGAGATTTGTTTTTCTTTTCGTTTCACGTGTTTAGCATCCTGGCAGCCCAGAATGCAAACATTCCATTGCAGATTATCGCGGTGACCGAGAGCGGGGGCGTTAATGCCTTCTTCAACAGCGATATTTGCCAGTTTCTGATCACCGAGGGCAATGCGGTGGCCGATCGTTTCAAGGGGAGCTTCATGACCTTCTCGGCTGATCAGTATGTCAAGTGTAAGTGAACGATGGAATGAAACCAAGTTCAATTTGAATCTAACATTGTGGCCCGCTTTACAGTCGCGTTCTATAATCCATTCCTGAAGACAGCCTGGGATAACAAGTACGAGGTGGAGAACCTGCATGTGGAGGAGTCAATTACTTTGGATTCGGGCGAGGGCACGCTGGAGAACTCGGTTAACCAGATGCCACGCCCGCCGCCGCGCCACGAGAGCTACATGCTGTCCAATACGTTGGGAACCGACGGTTCCGGCAGTGAGAATTACGAAATGGCTCCTACCCGATCTCTCAACTCATTAAATGGTGAGTCAATCCATCGAGCCGATGTTCCCGGCTGCCCTTCTCATCACATATGTATCTTTCAATTTGCAGAAGAAAGAGATATATCATTAGATGAAGTCTACGATGACAACGAAAAGCCGAAGCACCTGCATCAAAGTAAGTTCCATGCTGGCCACTAATCCCAAACGACCAAGCCAAATGACCCCACCTAAAGCTAAACCAAACCAAGTTCAATAACAAAAAGAAACCAAACTCATTCAGAATTCGTGTTCCATAGCCAATGAATATATATTAAACATACCCATATACGATATAATTATACATGTTTGAATATTCATCCATTCCATCATCCATTCCATGCATTCATTCAATTATTCATTCATCCGTTTCATTGCCAACTCGTGGACACGAGATCATGCCATATCATATACTTATATGCGCCATATCTATCTATATCATATATATAATGATTATTATTAATTAACGATTAACCTTAACCATTTTTTTATCGATTTATCTCTGTGTGTGTATTTGTTGTTGTCGTTTTGCCTATTGCAAATCAAATTATTTGCTCTCAAACAAACAATACTCAATCAAAAAAAAAACAAAAAACAAAACGAAAATATATAAGGATTCCAGATATTCCCTCCTCCAACAACTCCTCCAGAGCCAGCCCCTCCAGATCATCAGCTCATTACATGCACATATAAGAGTCAATTCGTTTCGGCTTCAGAATCAAGTTTGGAAGAAATAACATGTAATCTAACTATTTGAATATATTTCTCCTATATTCTCGTTTATATCTCTTATCTCTATCTATCTATCTATCTATCTCCCTCTATCTCGTTATCATCCCCTAGAGTTTTGAATTATTTATTTGGTTTCCTCGTTGTGATCACTCGAAAAAAAACACCAACGAATCTTCACCACCCCAATCCACCACGTCAATCCACTCCCGAACCCCTCTTTCTTCCCTTTGATTCTTAATTTTCGGGTAAAGCTGGTGAGGTGACTTCCTTACAGAGAAGTATATCCTGATATTTTGAATTGTTTTGAAAATATTCCGTTTGAATTGTACGAAATAGGAAGCGAATAGACTCGAACTATGATGGATTGTTTTTAAAGCTCTGTAAATAGTTTTTAATATGCAATGCTAACAATTTGGCGAATGGTATATTGCAGAATTTTATACTAATTGTGATCAAGTTGCGTATATATTGCGAAAGTGTATGTATATAAATTCTCCTTCGAATTGTTATGTAGACTATAATAATGTAGAAATCGCCCAAAATTGTATTGAAACGTATAACGTTGAAACGCCAACTTGAGAAAGCTCTAGATTTTTTGTAAATGCTTTTCTGGCATCCTCTGCAAGGATAACTCACCAGATCTATCCAGGCGATCTTAATCAATCGAATCAACGTTCATGTCGCTCCACCAATTGAATGTTTCTACCCGCTCCTCCCGGTTTTTTTTCGAATGTTCTTTTGCTATGTTAACTCTTCAGTTTCGTGAGCCCGTACTGTCTGCCAGTAAAGCTGTTTATGTATATATTCCATGTGCCCATGTGTCCATGCTGCCATGCTGCCATGTTGCCATGTTGCCATGGTCCCCGACCCAGCAAGCCAGAAATCCAAACCCCATACCGATGGGAATCGATTGTACAGATGTTCTTTCGTTCGATTGCTGTTCCCCACGTTCTCTTTTTGCTTTGCTCAATCTGTTCCTATTACTTTTTTTTCTTGTGAAATCACTCGTCGGAACTTGAATCCATTTCAAATCTGATGAATCCGGTGTGTTTGCTCTCGTTTTTCTCGTTTCCCGACAAGCAGCGGATGTCAGCGGGTCCAAGGATTCACTGGCCACCCACGATGCAGGTTAATCTCACGATTCACTTACGTTCTAGACACTAGATTAAGTCCTTTTCTGTTTGCCGCCTGAAAATCCAATCGAACCAAATCCAATCCCCGGCACGAATCCCTCGAGTTTAGTTAGCTGCTTGCCCGTGCAACTTATTGCGTATTCTGTATATATTGGTTAAGTGCTGCATAACTTCTTGAATATAAAATGAATAATATTTTATTTGCGTGAATTTATTTAGAGGCTTGAATCGTTTTAATTCAGATCAATGCAAAATGTATTTAAGCCCTTAAGTTAGCTGAACTTCATGTCTTATTCATATTATATATTTACAATGATTTACAATGAATAAGTAATATTTGCATTTGAGTTGCTCACTATTGTTGATAACAGCTAACATAATAATAATCATATTTGTGACGCAAATAACTAGAGTTCATATTAAATTCATTATTCATTATATATCAAGTGACAATTGTGCCCCGACCGATGCATTTATAGTTTGTGACGTTTCCACGAAGGGAATCTCGTCCGATTGGGCTAATTGTGAATCTCTGCTTCTCTCCCCCAACTAAAAATCGCATGGATAATTTAGAGTGGCTGGAGGACAAGAGTGATGGGCGGCGCAACATGAACAAGAACTTGATTTGGAACAACTTCAGCGGATCCACGCATGCCTACACCACCGGTCGCCGGCACATCGACTCCAATCTGAACAAAATCCGCCCGAAGGGACCCAGTCAAACGCTCAAAGTGGGCGAGGCGCCCAGTCGCAATTGCCCGGCCATGAGCTCCTCCACCTTCACCCTGCCCACCCAGCAGCCGGGCAAGCTGAACATGAAGAACTTTCAGCTGGTCAGCGATGCGGTGGCCAAAATGAATTTCACCGGCTCCGGTTCGGGCTCGGGATCTGGTTCGGGATCGGGCAGCACTGGACTGGGCCTGGGTCTGGGTTCCGGCAGTGGCTGCATGGGGGACTCGTATCTGGAGCCGGGCGACAAGGACGGCAAGCGGTACGATCATGCCCAGTTGGATGGCGAAGATGAGGATTCCGAGGAGCTCGCCGAGTACGAGCAGATCTACGAAAATGAAGGTACTGATGCCAGGGAAACTCTTTTGCAGCGCATCATCGTCTCGCTAGAACTAACTCCTAACTCCTAACTCCGAACTCCTCGCCCACTAACTCACCCAAATCACTCACCCTGCACACACACAAGCTGATGACTCCACGAACTTGATGCTAACAGATCGAAATTATGTATGCTTTGGTATTTTTGAATTTCATGAATACCCGCGAGTTGCTGATCTTTTTATCGAAACGAACGCATTTGTTTTTAAGAATAATGTGTATTTTGCGCTCGTTTTGTGACAATCATGGAATGAGTAGTTTATTTCGGTTCCTTAGAGTTATAGAAGGCAGAACCAAATATTGCTTTTGTTTTTTTCCCTCCGAAATTTGATAATTTTTAGTTATTCGACGATGCATCACATAATTTAGATGTGGAATGTTGGGATCAAGTTCTCTTTGGAGTAGAACAGAATTGTGTCATTGATTCTCGAACAGAGCATTGTCCTGTGTCCCTCGCTGCTCCCCGAACCAAGGGGAACCCTCTTCTCAAACCAATCTTTCATGTCATCCGCAGACTGCACCGAATCAGACAGCTGTGCCAGTTCCACGGAGCGACGGGTGCGCCAGCAGAATGCCTACTACAAGGCCAGCAAGAAGCCGGTGGCCGCCAAGAAGCAGAAGAAAAAGAAGGTGGCCATCCCGGTGCAGACACCGCGTGTTCCTCCGTTCGGCTCCTATGTGAGTCCGCCGGAGATTCCGCTGCACTACCAGCGCATGGCCGTTGGCGGGCCAGGTGAGAAAAGTATGTGTCGTGATTTGTGCTTATTTTTTGCTGTATATCTTTTATGTATTACATTTGATTAATTTCTTAAAAGTATTAAAGTGTCTTAACCAAATACAAATACATAATATCTAATGCATTGTATTTTCCTTGAATACTCACAGAGAAACCAGAGCCTTGCGTTCCGGAGTTCATGAAGAGCGACAAGTCGCCAGAGGTGGGTGTCCTTGAAATAATATCCACTTTTGCACAACTTAAACTGACCATTGTTATCCTTCTCCACCTGCAGTATTCCATGGTGCCAGAGCTGGCGGGTGCCGGCATCTTCGGTGCAGAGAATTTGCCCGAGTACAACATGAACCAGGCCAAATGCTTGAAGGACTTTGAGAAGCTGGAGAAGCGGCGTATCAAGGAGGAAACGGCCAGGCAGCGCAAGCTCCAGGAGAAGGAGAAGGAGCAGGAGAAGAAGCTCAAGCGCAAACTCAAGCAGAATGCCAAGGGCCTGGTTGAAACCGCGGAGGCGCAATTTGGCAAGCTGATGATTACCTCCGAACAGGGCGAGATCCCCATCTTCCTTAACAAGTGCGTCGAGTTTATCGAGAAGGAGGGCCTGGACTCCGAGGGCATTTATAGGGTGCCCGGAAGTAGAGCGCACGTCGACATGCTGTTCCAACGCTTCGAAGAGGGTAAGAGTGTCCCACCGAATGCCTGCTGCTTACAGTCACATCGAATTTATAATGTTTTCAAATCCAGATACCAATACTGAGATTGATGCGCTGGACATACCCGTGAATGCCGTGGCCACGGCACTGAAGGACTTCTTCTCCAAGCGCCTGCCCCCGCTGTTCAGCAAGGACATCATCAAGGAGCTGGAGGAGATTGCCGGTATGTGGCAGCCAGCATGAAGTCCCTTCGAATGCGTCTAACACTGTTTTTACTTGAAGGTTCCCGAGGCGTGGGCAATTCCAAGCTGAATGTTGAGGTCAAAACGGACCGGAGTTGCCGCTTGATAGCTTTAAAATCGCTGCTCCAGAAGCTACCGCCCATCAACTTTGCCATACTCAAATACATATTCCAGCACTTTGTGCAGTAAGTTGGGGGAGGGGAATCCAATGTCTCTGTTTCGTTGATATTTACATTTGTTTATGCTCCGCACAGCGTATCGGACAACTCGAAGCTGAATAGCATGGACAGCAAGAACTTGGCCATCTGCTGGTGGCCCACACTCATACCCATCGACTTCACCGACATGGGCCACTTTGAGCAGCTGCGTCCGTATCTGGAGGACATTGTCCAGACAATGATTGACCAGTTCCCGTATCTGTTCTGCGGCAAGGACGCTTTTGTCATGGTCTAGGCCTAGATCCCCGCCAGGCCATGGCACACTGGGACTTCTACTTGACCGCCGGACGCGAAGCCAAAACGAGATAGTTAGATTCAATGTGCGTTTGTGTATGAATGTGGGCGCCAGTGAGATGTGTGCCATGTGTGCTTTGTGTTTTTTGGGTGATCTAAGGAGCATATTAGTAATAGCCATAGGGAGAAGGAGGCAGAAGGAAGCAGGAGGCGTTAGCAGGAGGCAGCCCATCGATCGATCGATTCATTGAAATGAGGATCAGCAGCCAGGCATATACATACATATTTATGATAGTATATAATATACTTGGGTCTATTGTGTGCAGTGTGTGATTCGTGATTCGTGATTGTGTGTGCGAGCGTGCGAGCGAGACAACAGAATTTGGCTAAGTAGGGTATATTTATTTTTTATATATACAATATATATTTTGTATCGATGGCTTTGTTGTGTTTCCGTGATATATGTAAACGCGTCAAGTATTTTCTCTGTGTGGTGGTGCGTCCCTTTTGTCGTTGAATCCATTGAGTGAGACCTCCCCTCGCCGCCCCCCATTCCCCGCCCCTCGGCCACCGCCAGCCCTCTCCCCCTCCTCCTCCCACCATGGCACCCGCCACCCACAAACGCTCCTCCCATCACGAGGGGCGGGGCGGGGGCGCCAACGACAACGCACAAAAACAAGAACATAACTAAAAAGTAAAACAAAAAAAAACAGACAAAAACAACAACCAAGATATATATGTATGAAAGCATGGGGAGATATCTAGTATGATGTCAGGAAGATGCAGGAAGATGGTTAAATAAAATTTACTGTGTATCTGTGTATGTTATAAATGTAATTGTAATTGTATGTTAAAAATAATGGGCGATCAGCCAACCAATTTCCACATAAACACAATAGCGATAATGCTAGATATATAATATATATTTAAATACCACTAAATGTCTGTGTGTCTAGTGTAGGTGAAAGTAGGCGAGGTGTTGAAGGCTTTGGGGAGAAAGGACAAGTGAAGAAAGGAATACACTAAAAAAAAAACAAGGAAACAAAAAAGAAACCAATAAGAACAACCGAGCAAAATCTAATTTTCGAGCTAAACTAAATGTGCATCTCAGTGTGTGTGTCTGTATATGTATGTTTGTCATCCAACTAGATATATACACTATATAATTATATAGCTAACATATAAGCAAGAAATGATAATTACTACGGCAAAGGAAATCTCCCACAAAAACTACAAATAAAGTTTAAAAAATAAAAACAAATATACAAGTAAATTGAAGCGATGCGATGCGATGTGAAGTGAAGTGATGAAGATATAACTCAAGTTTCCCCCACATTCGAATCTCCACTGATTGTCTAATTGATATTTGCATTAGCCAGGCATATAATCCTTAATGTAATACTCTCTATCTGTCTCTCAAAAACCAAAACCAAATTGTGTGTATGTGTGTGTACCGTATCGAATTAGTGAAAAAAACAACAAATTATACAATTTCTACCCATGTACGCATATATTTTAACTAAAAGCGAGCAGCAGATTTTCCACAAACGCTATTCCAACAGGCAGAAGGAACGACTAAAAAATGCAAATCGTAAACAATTGTAGACAACATACGCCTAAGTGTTATTCCTTGTAATTGAGCATTAATTTTTTATATACAAACCGAAACCTAATTATATATTTGTGTATCTTGTGTCTGAAACGGACCTCAAACTCAATGGAAGAAAATAACGCGAGATCTGTTGCCAAACAAAACATAATAATAAAAACAGAAGAAATAAGCGCTCCAAATGAAATTTACAACAAGTAAAGAGAGAAAAAGAAAAGAAAAACTTAACCATTATATAGTATAATTTGTATAGATGTGTGTCTATTGCATTATTTGTACACGTACATATATACGCTAAACTGAAACAAAAACATAACAAAAAACAAGCAAATATGTCTAAACGAAACAAAAAAAAAGCAAAACAAATCGAACAAAAAAATTGTAATTGACGTGATGTGTAATGATATTTTTAAAAGCAAATTTTATGCCACGCCCATGCCACGCCCCCTTTTCCAACCGAAAAGGAGACTTCCCCAAAACGAACCCTTCCCGCGCAGAATCCACTCGCTGGATGCCCGTCCCGCATTCCCAGCTCCACCACTCACATCCATACATTAGGATTCTGGATGCCGGAGACGCCATGTCAGATGGGTGACCACCGCTCCTGGGCTCCATCCGATGGGCGGGCAGCGGTGTGGAGCTGCCACAACCGAAAGACGAGGGAAAACATGATGAAATCAAATCAAACGAAAAACAAAAATAATAAATTTGTGGGCATTTTCCAAATATTTGTGAAGCATTTGGACAGCGACTTTTTACTGGGGGTGAGAGAATCATTTTAAAACGTCCTAGTAGATACAATTGTATCCATTCGGTTGGTCCTAGGAATAACAAACGTTAATCTTCAAAGCACGACCACATTTTAGAACTTATTTATAGTTAAAGTTTAGTTTCCTTTAACTGAGCCCAATTAAAATAACATCGCTAATTGAAGTATCAATAAAAACAAAGTTCTATTAAACTACACGTTATGTTTACAAAGTAATTTGCATTAATTTATTCCCCACTTAGCTACCCAAAAGACTGGCCGCTATGGCCTCCGTGTCCATTAGAGTCATCTTATTCGTCAGCCTGGACTTTTTGTAGGCGGGTTCATCATCGGAGTCGTCTTCGCCGCCGTCGGCTTCCTCATCATCGGATGCATCGCTCGACTCTGATTTGGATTCAGCATGCGCGTCTTCATTTTGATCCGAAGCATTAGCCTTATTTTTGTAGACCTTGTCGGGATCCGGCAGCCAGGAGAGGTCCACTGAATGGTCACTCTCACTGGCAGCATCTTCGGCATTGTCATCATCCAGCTGCTCCTCTTCCTCGTCGCTGCCCTTGGCCTCCTCCGTCTTCTTGCGCAGCTTCTCCCGCTGCAGTTTGTGCCGCTTCTTGACCAGCTCCCGGAACCGCTGCTTGTCGTATTGATCCTCCTCGGTGAGCAGTGCCTTGGACAGCATTAGATTGATGCCACCATCGTCGTCGTCTTGGTTCTCTGTTCTCTGCCTGGCACTCAAAGCCTTCATTTGGCTGCGATCGTCTGCCATAGTTTCGCCCTCGTCATCAAACTTCAGCTTGGAGTTGACTTGCAGGTTCTTCTTCAGCGCCTTTTTGGCCAGCGAGGCCTTGGTTACCAGCTTTTCTCGCTTGGGCACTACAAGTGGGGCCTCTGCCTCATTCTCTGTGGCTTCGTCTTCGTCCAGTTGAACTGGTTCTCCTTCCACATCGTGATCCTTACGTTTCACCTTGATAAAGTCTTCATCATCACTGTTCTCTTCATCCTCGTCACCGCCGCCAAAGCTCTGCTGCTTGGTCATCTTGCTAAGCACTGGATTGGTATCAGTTGTGTTATCACCTTGTTTGTTCTGCTGCTGCAGCTGCTTCTGGCGCCACAGGAATTTTTCGAGGAAGGGGACACGCGGCGTAACCGCCAGGCCCAGCGACTGAGCAAATGCATCTAGATCCAGGCTAAACACATTAAACAAGCGCTTGTTGCGCATCAGGAACACGGATTTTATGTAGGAAAGAAAGGCGCGCTGGGCGGTGGCCCTCAGCTCGGGAAATTGGGCCAGAAAGGCCTCGATCTTGACGCGCGGCGAGAATAGCTTCTTGGGATCGATTTGTACACAACGAATATCAATATTCAACTGTTCCTTAAGTGCACCAATCATGTACTCCTCCTCACTGGGTGTCAAAACCAACAGACACTCGCCGCGTGTCTTGTTTCGCGCAGATCGTCCAGCTCGATGAATGTACTGTGAAACATCCTCGGGGCAGTCCAACTGCACCACCCAATTGACCGCAGGAAAGTCCAGACCTCGCGATGCCACATCAGTGGAGAACATGACGACGTGGCTTTTACGAAGGAAATCCTCGTAGATGGCAATGCGACGATCCTGATGTAGGGTTCCATATAGAGCCAGCAGCGGGCTACCCGGCCGCAGTTTGCAAAATATCTCGTACAGGTACTTGGCTTGTTTGCAACTGGATACGAACACAATGATCTTTTGCTTCAAATGGTTCTTGATGAACGACCACAGCATGGTGATCTTGTCCTCGAGGTTTAATACCACATAGCTCTGTTGTAAAAGCTCGGGAACTGCCAAGACGGCTGTGCTCGGTGCCTTCTTCGTACTGGAGCTGGGTTCTTCACCTGGCGTCGCTCCTCCATAGCCTACGTAGACCGGATCCTTCAGATTAAGCCTCGCTAGATCCTGCACCGTATTCGTTTGCGTGGCCGAGAATAGCAGTGTTTGGCGCACAGGTGGAAAATTTTCTATGATTGAGTTCAGGGCCTTCTGGAAGCCCATATCCAAACAGCGATCGGCTTCATCCAGGACCAACACCTCCATGGTGCTCGTATTGAAGAGCGGATTCTCGTCCATATGCTGCAGCAGTCTGCCGGGTGTGCAGATCAGTATGTTGCACTGATCCATGCGAGTCCGCTCGAACTTCAGGTTCTTGCCTCCGATGATGAGGCCGGCGGAGAAGTCGTGGTGCTTGCCCACCTTTTTCAGTGTCTCGAAGATCTGGTAAGCCAGCTCGCGGGTGGGCGAGATGATGATTGCGCCAACGCCATCGGTGCGCGACCACTTGTTCATGAACAGATGCTCCAGAACCTGCAATAGATGAACCATTGTATAACTTGCATTCAGCAACTTCTTTCGGAGTAGCGGGTGGACCAACTTACGGGTATGAGAAAGGCCAGTGTCTTGCCACTGCCTGTGACGGCCGCGCCCAGCACATCCTTGCCCTGCAGAGCGGGTCCAATGCTGTCCCTCTGCACCTGCGTGGGATGCACGAACTTGGACTCCGCCAGTGCCTTTTGGGTCTTTTTGGACAGCGGAAACTGGGCGAACTTCTTGATGGAAGTGGCATCGATCTCCGCATATTTGGCCTGCAGTTCCCGGATCTCCGCTTCGGTGGCGGCCAGTCTCGACTTGTTAAGCTCCTGGCGCGGACGCTTTTGGTTGTGGTCGCCACTCTTCCGGCCACCAGGAGCTCCTTTGCTCTTGCCAGATCCCGGCTTGAAACGCGGACCCGATTTGCCGGGTCCCTTGGGTTTCTGGCGCTGCATACCCTTTGTTTATTGGTCGAAATGCGCTCGATTCGAAATGTATTGAAATTCGCACGCGGTTGGAATTACGGGTGATAGAAAAACCGATTCATAAATCGATTCATACGTATTTCAAGTCGAATGTATCGATTAATTCCTACCAGTAATTTTGTACCACTGTTTTTAAAAAATTGGAAAAAATGCTTGTAATAATATTTTTACTTTAGTCGATCTCTTCAATTCGTTCTTGCAACATCCCATATATATTCCAAGTAAATATATATAATATTCATAGAACTGCATATCTTGCCTTCGTGCATTTGCCGTTTTACTGTCTGGTAACACTGCAAAGTGTACAGTCGTCGAAAAACTATTGAAAATTTGTTTTTCTGGTACGCGGCAATCGAAGTAAACAATTGTCCATTTGCTTTCCGATCGGAATCGCCATCGATTCGCGGAAAGGACGCTGTCGCACAAGGGAGCACTAACGGATACCCAGGAGCAATATGGCCAAGCTGGGAAGGAAAGTGGCAGAAAATAAACGCAGGAACGGAGTTGCCGCTGAGAGCGAAAACGAGGAGAAGGATCCGCAGGCATCCAATGAGAACACCGGGTCCTCTAGCACCACACGTCGATTATCCAAGAAGCCGGCCAACAAACGGAAGGCTTCACTGATAGTGGTCTCTGGAACCGAAGACAGCGATGACCAGACCTCCAACTCCAACGCCGCGGATGTATCAACTCCAAGGAACAAGCGCAAGGTGGGCAGGGCTAGGAACGTCACCAATTCGGCCATCAAAAATGGTAAGAAGAACGTTATAGAGGATTCGGAGGACGATGTCAATGATTCGGACTCGGTGGACGTGAGTGCCGATGGCTCGTCAAAGAAGCCGGGGATCAAACGCAAGACACGACGATCAGTGCGCACTGCCACCGAAGATAGCGATGGTCTGCCCACCACATCCAGAGCCGCCGCAGATGCATCTAGTCCAATCAAGAAGCGCAAGCTGGGCAGGGCTAAGACTGCTTCCGCCAAAAATGGCAAGAAGGCCGCTGACGAGGAGTCGGAGGCCGATGACGATGTGGACATGGATGATGACAAATCAGCCCCACCCCAGGTGAGACATGAAATTGAAAAAAACTTAAGCATACTAGTTCCAATAAGAACTTGAACCACAGTTCTTTCTGCAACATTTTGGTCAGCATAACAAAACTACGAGACCTAAAACCGTTCAAAACACTCCATTATTTTGAATGTCGAATTACCAATACATGTTGTAATGCTAGTTCCAATAAGAACTTGAACCACAGTTCTTTCTGCAACATTTTGGTCAGCATAACAAAACTACGAGACCTAAAACCGTTTAAAACACTCCATTATTTTGAATGTTGAATTACCAATACATGGTGTAATACAAGTTCCAATAAGAACTTGAACCTCAGTTCTTTCTGCAACATTTTGGTCAGCACATACAAAACAACGAGACTTAAAACCTTTCAAAAAACTCCATTATGTAACAAATGTTGTAAAAATGTTGGCGTTAACCATCGTAGAAACATTACAATATGAAACTCGTATTACAATATGTAAGTGGAGAGTTATTTCTTTATATGGAGCTTACCATAGCCAAAAATTACTCGCACATTCAGATTCATTAGTTTATAAGATATTATTTTGATCTATTAACTCCAACTTTTTTATCATCGTTGTTCTGCAGAAGGTTGCAGCAAAATCGAAGACCACGCAAAATGTTAAAAAAAGCAAAGGACGAGGTCGAACGACCGCCGGTACCAAGAAAGTCGATGCTCCAACCGATCCTGAAAAGCAATGGGAAGTGGAAAAAATAATTGATCATGTAGTCACCAAGGAGGGCGATATGTTTAAGATTCGATGGAAGAAGTATGGACCCCAAGATGATTCCTGGGAGCCAAGGAAAAATCTGGCGTGCAACGCATTAATCGAAAAGTTCATGAGGGAAATAATAACCCAGAAGAACGTTGATGTCAAAGAGCTGCGCGAATCGCCAAAAAAGACTGAGCGACTAGTCGATGAATGTTATCCCAGGACCAATCTACACAATCGTATTGAACGCTCCTCGAAGCGGTCTGCCGCCAAAAACCGGTGCGTTTAATATCTCTATATACAAAATAAGGTTAGAATAATGACACAGCTCTAAAGTAATTCGTACAATTATTTCATATTTCCAAAGTTTTCAATTTATTTTCAAATGCCCAGTTTTGTCACTTTTCATTGCAATGATCATTTTTTAATATCACGTTTCCAAAATTTATGAATACTTTCAGTTTCTTTACCCCTTTCGTTGCACTGTGTCTTATTTCTTTATTTTAATTATAATTTTGATACCCACACACAACCGTTTTACTTATATTCACATTTTTTTTACTCATTCTTACTTTTAGCATTTTTTACGGCGAGGATTGAGGAAAGGCAACGGCCCCGCCTTCTTGAAGACATCGTCTTCTTTTTTTTTTTGGTTGACATAGATTCTAAGGACCTAATGACCGGTGTACGTGGAGAGGTGACCCAAGGCGGATCTAGTTGAATTTTAAGAAACTCTTTCCCCATTCGTTCTTGGTTTTAAAAATGTTGGCGAAGCCAAATCACCTCGTGTCCACAATGCTGACGATTGGCAGGCACATCTACGGCAACACAATACAAAATATATAATTCGGATTTTAGCACATAAGTAAGGACTGGCGAAGGATGGCAGCACAGTGCATATATGTAGTATTATAACTGGTTTTGCTGCACTCAACCAGCGTAGAATGTAAGCCTGAATATCTGTAGCTTTAGTGGTATACTTTGAGTAATTGATGTCCATATTGGCCAATTGTCGCAGCTGAAAATAGCCTCTTAACTACTCTTCCAATCATCTCAATTCATAATATACGTTCATACGTACGTATGCAATAGTACACACCAAGTAATAACATAATAAGTAGCAAGGGAACTTTGCCGTTTCTACTACAGAAAAAAATCATTAAATGTAAAAAACCCACTCGTGCTTTTGTCTTTCATTGGGGTTCTGGCGATCTTCCACATCTAGTAACTTATACTAGTCTACGCTTTCGATTTTCTTTTGGGAGTTTTTATTTTACATTTAAGGTTTCAAACTGGAAAAGAAAGTCTTTTAGAATTAATAGGGTGCTTCCACAAATAATTCAAAAATCCTTTATCAATGACCACTAAGAGTTGCTTAACATTTATTTAACTTTCGTTCGACAATCAGTGATAGGTTCTGCTCCTTGCTCATCCTCTACAGACCGGGCTGCAGACCGAAGCCAGGTCCCTTGGGCTCCTCGCTGAGGGAAGTGGGCTCGCCCTTTGGCTCGCTGGCAAAGCGTCCGTTGCGTGGGCCAGGTGGCGATATCTTATCCGCCTTCAGGTCGTTGAGGATGTCCTGCATATCCTTGGCCGTCAGATCCTCCTGAAAAATGAAGGAAACGCTAGAAATGTCGAATGGCACAATCTAATCTCATCAATCGAATTCAGCATTTTAAAATCGAATCTTTGGACGAGGATGTAAGTGCATGTACCATCAAATGACCAAGAAACACATTTTGCAGCTAGAATTGCTTACATAGTAGTCATCGTTGATCGCCACCATTGGCGCATTGACACAGGCGCCCAAGCACTCGACCTCCGAGATGGTGAACTTCTTGTCCTTGGTGGTGTCGCCGACGCCGATGCCCAGCTGCTTCTTGCAGGTCTCCAGGATGTCGTCCGATCCGCGGAGCCAGCAGGGCGTGGTGGTGCACACCTGGATGTGATACTTGCCAGTGGGCTTGCGCATGAACATCGTATAGAAAGTGGCCACCTCGTAGACGCGCATGTTGGGCAGCTGGAGGATCTCAGCCACCTTGTGCATGGCGGAGATTGGCAGCCAGCCGTACTGGCGCTGTGCCAGATCGAGCAGCGGGATCATGGCGCCGCGCTTGTGCCCCTCCGGATAGATGCTGAGTATGGCCTCCACGCGCTTCTTGTTCTCCGCCGTGAACTCGAACGGGATATTGGGATTATCCTCCGGTGTGTCGCGATGGACGAACAGATTGTCGCTGGCCCGGGCACTGCTGGTGGCAATGGCCCGGATGTTGGCGCGCTGCAAATAACAACACATATCCTTAATGTTATTGTTTTCCTGTCGCGAATTATATAACCCGGGGAACAGGTTGACTCCCCCGGGCTGCCACCGCAAATGACTGGCTAGTTTGGTTGGCTGCACTACTCACCACGGCGGCCAGCGTTTTGGAGGCACAGTTTGTCAGCATTCTGGCGTTTCCAAAATAATGAAAAGGCTGAAAATTTGCTCTTATGTTATGTGAAGTCCGTCGGCTGCTGTCAGTTTTTTTTTTAACAAGCACCGCTTACAGCTGATTTTCGGTGGAGCGTTTTCCAACACTGGCGTTTGTCGTCAGAGAAAAACAAATCTTTACATCTCTTGTACAACAATTTGATCTATTAATCACTCCTTCGGTGATTACAGTCATTTAGGATTTAAAAAATATATGGGTTTTATAAAATATTTATCTAGTACCAATATGGTTGACACTTAAAAGACATTAAATGCAGATTTTCCTTCTTAGTTCTTACAGCATTACAAATATGTTTTTTAACTATATTTACTATATAGTTAACTATATTTTAACTATACTTTAAATTTGTTCCCTCTTATTTTTAAGTTGTGTAAAACTGTAAGCGATATATATTGCCGTGACTCCGATGTTCCGTATCTATGACACATTTCAGCACTGGCTGCTGTTCCTTACCAATCGATTTCCGATTAATTGCGAAACGCGCAAACTTGAAAGTTTATCGAGGTGACAACGTTCGACGGCCTGAAAATGGAAAAATATCCGCTTGCCAAAGAACTTATTGGGAAATTTTGGCTAAATGATGCTCAAATGGCACAGCTCGAGGAGGAGCTCAAGAAGAGACAGGAATTGAACGCCGAAGAGCAGCGTGAGTAGGCATAAATCGCGAATCTATAGGGGATTCCGTACATGTTTCTTCTTGTTGCAGTTATAGAGCCGCAGTTGGAGCAGATGCTTTTTGACCTGATGTTGGCCAAACAGTGTGCCTTGGAAGCGAAGGATAACTGTGCCAGCCTGGCACAGGCCAACACCATAATGCAGGACTGTATATTCCAGATTCTGCAAATTGAGGAATTGCTCGGAATGACCGACCTGCAGGACATCCTCTATCGCACGGTGCATTGCATGGAGCAAGAGCTCCAGAACCAAATGAAGATGGATGAGGATTTGGCCGAGCACGAGGATCATCAGAACACCATCCTCGAATCGCGCAGTATCGGTAAGATTCTGTGAAACAATTACATTGCACATTTACATATGTATAACGGAGTATAATGGAGTCAGCCATATAATCATAACCAACAACAAAAAAATGTTTTTTTTTTCTTTATACCCTTTCTGATAGTATAAGTTGTATACGCATAATGTTGGTCATTTGTATTATTTGAATGATTCTCAAATATATTACATTTTTAGTCCAGGAATTCCGCAAACAACAAGCCTCAAAAGAAGAGGCCGAGAAGGAACTAGCCTCAGTGGAGGAACTACTGGGCCAGTCGGATCGCCAGTGGACAATTATGCTGAGGAGTATGACGGATAATCGTAACAAGAAGATAGTCAGTATTTTACAGATGAGCAAGCTGATAGATGAATTGGAGGAACAGGTGAGTAGTTACGAAATACCCATTCCATTACAGTACTTTTAAAACAATTCCTAATCCCGAAATTTGTTTCAATATACAGCTTTACGTGAATAACTTTTCCGTTTTTCAGTGGAATAACACGAATTTTATTAAGACGGATGTCACTGGAGGGCATATCGACATAAATGAAGATCGTCAGCCAAAGATCGCTAGTCTTCCATTCGATGTTTCAAACAATACTTCACCATTTCAGTCTGCATCGGATTTCCTCAAAAACTATATCATTCAGTATATTAGACCAGATGACAATGAAGTCAGGACGAAGAAGCTGGAGACTCCGTTGCGATCCATTTTAGCCAATCGCAGGGAAGACGAATATGTTGCAACAAAGCAAGTGCGATTTTCTCCCTATCTAAAGATAAACCATATTGAAAAGGAGAAATCCGAGATTCAGGATTGGCTTTCTCATTCAGGAGAGACAGATGACCAAAATGGGGAATTAGAAGAGGACGCCGAAGAAATAGAGGCCACAGACGATAATTCCGAGGAAGTATCAGAAGAAGAATTGGCGAAAGCATCTGGAGACGAGTTAGAGGAAGCTTCAGACGAGGTATTAAATGACGAAATGGAGGCAGAAGATGAAGGATATGAGGAGAAAGTACAAATAGAAATGTCCGAGAAGGTTTTGGATCCAGAACAGGACGGATATGATGAGAAATCTGGATCAGAAATGGAGGCATCCGTATCGGACTACAAGGAATCTGGAGGAGAGGCATCAGGAGAGGAGGAGCCGGATGATGTGGGCAAGCAAGTGAACAGCGGCGAGAAAACAAAGCCAGATGAGCAGAAATCTAATGAAATTTCGGATAAACCCGAAATTATTAGAGTCGATATTCTCTCACCCATGAAAAACATATCTTCCTGGGTGATCGACAATATACCCACCACCTCCACAGGCACTCTCAACAGCTATACTGCAAGCCAGTTGTTGAACTATGGTATTTATTTTAATGAGCCACCGCCTAGCAAGCGACTGAAACTGGATGAGGATGAATTCCCAATGGCCCAACCTATGCCGGAGTTCCTCAATAATCCGACGCCTACATACAACAACGTTGATGATCAATCACTACTATTCAGCTCTCCCCATAACAATTTTGACGATGACTACCTTCTGAACTTCAGCGATGATAATGATCCTACACCTGCTGGCTCTTCATACATACTTTAAATTATAAACGTATTTTGATCAAACATTAATGTTTGTTCTTGATAAGAACGAACAATTAATTTACATCCAGCTTTAATAAGCATTGCCATTATTTAGCTATCAGAACAAAGTTCATGTCCAGCTAAATTAATTTTAGCCTTATGAAATGAATTCGTTAAACTTAAACATATGTATTATGTATACATATGAATAATTCGTATATAGAAGCCGGGAGTTCCAAATTTCCATTTCAGAATCTTTTTCCATTTTATTGTTCTTAAACTAATACAACAATAAATCAAAACAAAAATACAAGACTAAATATTTGATTTTACTGCAAATATAACGTGTTACCACTTTCAATAAAATGTTTTTTTTATTATAGCATCGAAATTTATTTCTTGAAATGTATTATTAAATTTAAGAACAGAGTGTGCTGAATACAATGCATACTTTAAAATAATTATGTGTATATATAAATTTAAGGGATTTAAGAGGAATTTAAATATTTCATTTATTATTCTCAGCGCTAAAGGTTTGAGTTCAAGCTAAAAATAATTTGGTATATTTATAGTTTGTTTTGGTATTTGCCAGCAAACATACCGTTCAGTATATTTACCCATGTGGTCAATACCACGAGTGTGTTTTATACAAATTAAACAAATAACGCCGATGTAATGGCTCGCAAACGAAAGATTCCCGTGCGCAAGCACCACGGCGTCCGTGATCCCCTCAAGCAGCTGGAACAGAAGGAGAAAAAGTACGTGCATAGTGGGAAGTCAGTCAGGAAAGCCAGCTAAACTAACATCTCCACCATTTCACATTGCAGACTTTCCAAAGTAACGAACAATCCGCCTGTGAAAAAGGATGAGCAGCAGGTGTCCTTCAAGTTTCGTCAGTTCCAGCAGCTGGCCAACGCCACCAAATCGGGCAAGAAGCTAAGATTGGGCGAAATCGGACGGGAGGATAAGCCGAAATCCGGTCCAGCATCCAAAGCTGGCAGTAGTTCCTCCTCGAAGGAAACGCGGAACATCAAGCAGTTTGCCAACGAAACGGACGAGGATTATCTGCACCGAGTGAATCGCATGACCAGTGCATCCGTACGGGAAGCCCACTACGAGGCCAAGTATGGTGTAAACGTGATAAGAAACCCCAAAACCGGAGAGATTACGGTCCAAAAGAGGCCCAAAAACGAGATTGACGAGCTGCTCAAGCAGAAACAAAAGGAGCAACGGCTGGCGGGCAAAAGGGGTCGCAAGAAGGTTCCAATCGTGCACAAGCCCATGGATGCGAAAACCAGTCGCGAATTGGTCAAGAGGGCCTACAAGGAAGCCCAGCAAGAGGTTGATACCGAGGAGAAGCAAAATGCCGGGCCAACGGAATACAAACAGGATATTGTGGCATTTGGCGAGATTGTTCATGCTCCGCCTTCCCTCAAAATCCTGCCACGCAAGGCGGAGAAAAGCGAAACAGTGCCGCGCCCAGGACGTAAAGCCAATCTCCTCCTGAAATCCATGCTGGATCCCGACAAGGTCCAGTCAAATCGGGGGCCGGAGGACGACGATGACAGTCGATTGAAGCTGGCTGCCCAATCCAAGAGCGCCTTCAAAGCACCCACCAAGGCACAGATGAAGGGCAAGCGGAAGGACTTGCCCTTGGCCACAAGGTCCATGCTCGAAACCGAGCGCAGCAAAATGGTTCAGCTGTACCGTCAGCTAAAAAACAAGACGACAGCGGATGCCTGACAGATTCTAGGCTAGATACTGACGTACATTTTTTTTTAACATTAAAACAACGTTTTGTTGTCACAGCTTTTGTGAATCACAAAAGTTACTTCTACTGAGGTGCAGTCGGATTTTCATTATAGAATGTTAAATATATTGATAAGGTTTTTAGTAAATATATTTTCAAACAAAAATGTTCTCTTTTCAACAGCATTGAATTCATATTTATTGATTAAAAAGGTATTTCATTTGATTATGCAGGCATTCTCATAATATTTACTATAAATGGCATTAAATAATATTAAAGGAAAGGTTTAAAAAAAACTAAGACGGTGCGCTAAATATTTGAGTGTGACCAGATTAGATTTCTGCCCACCTTAATTTGTGGTATATGTACGGTTGCTGTGCACAATTCAGCTTGGCCTTATTCGACACTGCGCTTTCGGTCACACTGGTCGCGACGGAAATTTATGAAACTAATTTAATTTAGTTAAACTAATTTTTTCAGCGTGAGCGTCCGCCACAAGAGTCGGCCAAAGTGAAAAACAAAATAAATTAAAAAAAAAAAACGCTGAGAGCTCAGTAGGCAACAACCGTCAGCGTTGTCAACATATTGTTAGCCAACTTCCTATTTTTTTTTATATTGATTAAATTCATTGTGTGTAGACGCACACACACATACAAATATATATATATATACGCACAGGCACGCGGATAGAGAGGAAAACAACAACAAATTGTGACTGGCGCGCAAATACAGACACAAATATCACTGACAATTGATAAATAGCTTAGACGCTAAATGAGTCAATAGTGAATTAAAATCGGCTATAGAAGGCTTATAATTTTTTTCATCAACTCGGGCTTACGTACATCGTGTCAAAGCCGCAATGTCTTGCTGCACTGGTGTGGGTGAGTGTGCTGTTCTTGTTGTTTTTGCTTATCAGCTGAGCGAAGGAACGGTGATTAACCCGTACCCAGTGCGCAGCCCGTGAAGCCAAAAACGCCAATTAACTAACCCTTAGTCAGTGCACTCTGTTCCCTTGCATTCTAATGCCTCACATCTGCATGTTCCCCTGTTTTTTAGCCATGTCCGCTAACGAGGGGATTACGATGCGCAATGGCAGGACCAAGGCGCTTCAGGAACACTCCACGGATCAGGTGGCCACTACTACGTTATTGCCACAGGTGCCGCCACAGGAGCAACAAGATCTTAATCCACCGCAACAAGAACAGCAGCAACAACAACAGGCCACTCCGCAAAAACAGGCCATGTCCGCCGACGAGAAGAAGGCCACCAAGAAGTCCCTGGTCATCGTAGTGGGCATTTTTGTGGCCAGCTTGGTCACCATGTGCTATGTGTACGCCATATTCCCCGAGCTCAATGCGTAAGTGGATCATTCTGGGGTTAAAGCGCCTACAATGATGTGTCCCCAGCGCATTCGTGCACCTGTGAGGTGTTAAGTGGCATCTATGTGTGTGTGTGTGCCAGTTTGTCTCGCATGATTTGCGAGCAGAGATGTCGGCCAAAGATCCGCTTAAAATAGCTAGACCACATCCAACTATGATTAGATATGCCAGGCAGTCATTTATCTAGGTAGCTCCATCACGCCTCTAAAAAAACTGTATTGTACTTCCAAATATCATAAATATTACAGTTTTTGGATGTAAAACAGCTCCATTCGTATTCAAAATATCAATGTTGGCTAGATCAAAAATTACAATATCAAGCTTATGCCACTTGAATATCTAAATATGAACTATAAGAGCCAAAGTTAAATAAGTAACTTAACGCAAATGTCACGCTTTGCATAAGCAAAACCTTTTAGCACACTTTCATTGTTATCTACATATTATCTTCACCTGAAACAGATTGTTCTTTGAAAATCTAGTTCTGTGAGGGACTAAAACAATAAGCACTCAAGTGTTTAAAGTTCAAGACGTTTGTATACAACAATTCATAACAAGTTGAATTAATCGAAATTAGATTTGCATGAAATCAGCAAGTCAGCGAATAATCTCTTGGTTTTTTTTTGTTAAATTTGTTTAGCAAACGAGGTTGAAAATTACTCAATCTTTTTTTAAGTCGCTTGCCAGACTCATTATTCTTATTGATAACGCTGTGAAATTTTACTTATCTATATTGTAGTTTCTTTTCGTGTTTGTGCTTTTACCACATTGACATACCGTGAATATAAAGTAATTGAAATAGTAACCAATTCACGATACCTATTACGGCATTATAAAAAAAAACTTATCTGAGTATCGTTCGTTTGCTTCCATTCAAGAGGCGTTTTTGGGTAGTAAAGATAGGAATTATTTACAAATAGCTGCTGAAGTATAGTATTTATTAAATAACAAGTCATTGATAATTAGTTACTTAATCAAATAGTAAAAAACTATACCATTTTCCAGTTTTGAAATGCTTAAGCCAAGCTCCAGTTGAATAGCCAGATTTGACTGGAAAATGTCTGAAATTACAGAGCTATCTGGCGAGAGGGTTTACTCGCACATATACACACGCATTGAGTCACGCCACCGATATATATGTATACATACATTTGTATCTACAGACTGTGTTTACACCTCGTCTCGGTTCTCTTTTTGCCCAATATCCGCAGGTCGGAGAAACAACACTTGAAAATTCCGCGTGATATCCAAGATGCTAAGATGCTGGCCAAGGTCCTTGATCGCTACAAGGACATGTACTACTTCGAAGTGATGTTCGGCGTGGTGGTCGCCTATGTATTGTATCCTTTTACCAAATCTGCACAAGCTAGAGACCGAAAGAACGGTATCAAAAGTCGGTCACCGACTGATTAGATAGTGAAAGAGTTCTATTCTCCGGCAGTGACCTTGACCCGATTACCAAAAACGAAGACCCCGCACCACAAACTATTCACGGTCAGTCGTGCGATTGTGTGTATTTCCACCTTAATTAATTCACGATCACCGTTTGAAGCGCATAGTGTGCATATTAATTACGTGGGCAGCACGGTGAAGTGCGAGCGAGATAGCTGTAGGAAGCAGGTTGCCTTCCTGCTCTCACATACTACTTGCACTCTCTAGGGTGGACCTTGAATTCAATGCTACAAACTAACTAGTGTTTCAAAACTAGTGTTTCACTGTGCGTATGGGTAATGAAATAACGTATACGCAATGTGAATTTTGGTTTTGATGAAAATTATTAGTTATTATCAGTGCGTGTGATGTTTATCAATGTAACAAGGTCCACCCCAGTGCACGCAGCATGTGCTGCCTAAAAATCGACTTTGCTCGTTTATATGACGCATTCTCTGTGTTTG